AGGAACAGTTTACATGTTATTTACATGATCTTCGCCCTTTGCTTTGAAACATTTACAGTATTTTCTTCATTTACATGTTTCACTTAAAATATTTACATGTTATTTACATGAAACCTTCAAAACATGTAAAAGGGGAAAAATCATGTAAATTATTCTTTACAGTCTTTTTTTGATTATTTACATGTTAATTACATGTTATTTACATACTCTGTAAATTTTCAACTTTTCCAGTGAAAAGTTGATGATAAAATCGAGGATAAAAAAGGAAACTCGGTTCACGATCCTAAGGAGGCGTCTCGTAAATGGACCAGAACATGAGCAAAATGGCAAGAGTATGGTTTGTGAGTCATTGCGGAGATTTTTTGGGGGAGGGGGGAGAGAGGAGGCGAGTGCTGTCAAAATCCTGTTTCCAATACTGTTAACAGATGGTTCGAATTTGTTTTAGACACGTTTAGAAAATGCAAAAAGGACTGTAATATACGTGAAAGTTATTCTGGTACAAGATTTTTGTCCATTAAAAGCTGATGAAATTGCTCGATTTCCTACCGGATTTCGTCTCAACTTTTGGTTAATTGATAGTCATACTGGCCGTGAACAACTCGGAGAGCGGTTATGCGAATGGACATTTCTCAGACCATCTATTTTATTTTATGTGTTTTTCCAAAATACAGAGAAGACTTGCTAAGAGTCATGGTTCCGGATGAACATTCCTGAAGCAGTGTTGGGCAGAATTATTCTGAATAAGAGTAAAATTTAATCTTTGTGGTTTGAACAACCAACCGAACGACCAAGAAAGGATAGCAGATGACATTTGCTTGTTTGATTCAACCGGTGCGTGCGTTTATCAAATACAGTCAAAGGAGCCAATTAAATATCCCGAAATGTGGTTACGAGATTATAGTTTAACCTATAAATGGAACTATAAGCAAAGTAAAATTCGTATATACGTAGAAATGTTTTCTGACAGCGGGGGCTTTCTTTCATATTTGGTCAAGGGTCGATCTGGAGCAGGTCTTAGAATGTTTTCGCTGATTTATCGGTTGTCAGTTGAATTTTTTTTCATTTGGCAGCTATTGGTAAGTTTTACAGATCTCAGTTATCACTTAAAAAGGCATAATTTCTCAGCTGACAGTGAAAATTTTGATAAATTCTTAGCTCTCAATCAATTCGACCTCGCATCAAGACCCTCTTTTTTCCGCTTAAATTTCTTTTGTGTGATTAAAAAACAAGCGAAAGTCATCAGTTTTCCAAAGTTCTTTATTTTCCCATCACCATACAGCCTCGCTCAGCAGAACACATTACCTTTCCCTTGATTCATATTTAAAAGCTTTAAATTGCTGCCCTTATAGTCTCGCCACTTAATTTTATTTAGAGCGTGCCGTCTTGTTCGTTGTCCAGAATGTGCCTTCTTGCACTGGTCCTTGATTTGAAATGATTTTCATTTTCCGAAGACCCTGCTGAATTGACAGATTTCAAATTTATAGCGGCGATCCCTAAGATGAAGAAAAAAATAACAGAAACGTTAGGTGAATAGGAAAAGGTTACCTTTTTGTTATAAAATTCCTAAACTCCTGGTCCTTTGAGTAGTTTAATAGGTTGGCCCTTTACACCCCCTTCCCCTTCTTCCCCGATTACACTGATTGTAAATCTGGTTGTATTTCTACTCAGGGGTAAACTTCCTTGTCGTAAGTTACACTGAGAAGGGAGAATAACAAGCGAGAAAATACTTACTCGTGACGATTATGATGAACACTGGTAACTCCGACCAAGAAGTAGCCGTTGGGAACCTGGTAACGAATTTCCTTGTCCCACTGGTTCTGATAAAGAGTTGTTTGGCAGGAATGTGCTCTTAAACCACTCACATGACAACAACGGAAGTTAAACCTAAAAGAACATTTTTATTAGAAACGTAATAAAAATATATATCTGTTGGTAGTTGGGGTAGTCAAGATTACATCATCCGTCAGATGAAGGAACAAGTTATCTCCATGAGCTGACCGTGCATGTACATATTTTTGTTGAGAAATCAACCACAAATAATTAAACACTGGAATGAAAAACGCGGAGTTACCAAAATAGATTTCAAAAGGGTGAGTTTTCAAATTGCACGTCTTTTCTTCTTCAAGGACCTAACTGTGAAATGCTTTTGATAAAAATCCTTGCCGTGTTATCAAGAAACATGCAACATTTGCTAATTCTTGATATCATACTGCGTACATGCACTTTAATGAATTCGAGAAAACATCTCAGTTATTGTAAAGATAGCCTCTTCCAGGTGCTATTTAAAAGACTAACCAATTTACCTTCGGTCACGATGATGTCCACTGTACACACTTCTGACCCCTGTAATAAAGCCATTGTGGGGACACTTGTAATTTACCAGTTGGTCAAAGTCGTTCACGTAATGACCGCTCCATGCGCAGTTGCCATGGCGATAACGAACGGGACCATATCCACACTGAAAATAGTGGATACGATCTTCTTTGCAAT